ATCGCTATCAAAATTTCAACAGTATTTTTCACAGAAGTAGAAAAAAATAACCCAGAAATGTGTATGCAGCTACAAGAGACCTCAAAAATAGCCAAGAACCCTGAGAAAGAACAAAGTTGGAGGCATCACACTTCCTGACTTCAAACTACATTGCAAGGCTACAGTCACTAAAATAATAAAGCGCTGGCATAAAACCAGACACAGACCAGAGGAACAGAAGAGAGCCCAGAAATAACCCCACATATATACAATTAACTTATGACAAAGGAGCCAAGAATGTACAAGGGGGAGCAGACAGTCTCTTCGACAAACTGTGTGTGGAAAAACTGGGCAGTTAACATGCAATATATTGAAACTGAACCATGATCTTACGATACACAAAAATCAATCCTAGGTAGATTAAAGACTTGAACCTAAGACCTGAGAACATACATAAAAATACTACAAGAACATAGGGCATACACTCTTTCACACTAGTCTTGGTAATAATTTGGATTTTGCACCAAAAACAGAAACAGAAAGGCAAAAACAAGTAGGACTTTAGTAAACAAAAAGCTCATGCACAGTGAAGGCAGCCATCTACATGCAGAGAGCCAGCCTGGAGGATGGAGGAAAGATCTGCAGACCATATCAGACAAGGGCTGACATCCAAAATATGTAAAAGATGCATATAACTCAATAAAAAAATCTAATAAATGGACAGGGGATCTGAATAGACATATTTCTGAAGAAACATACGAAACTAAGGAGGAAAAACATACACCGGAGCAAGGAAAGTCTCTTCAGTAAATGGTGCTGGGAAAACAGGACCATCACATGCAAAAGGATGAAACTAGAACACTACCTCATACCACACACAAAAGCCAACTCAAAATGGATGAAAGACCTGAATGTAAGATCTGAAACCATAAAATACATAGAAGAAACATAGGCACCACACTCCATGACATACACCTAAGAAACAGGTTTGAGGACTCACCCCCAGAAGCAACGAAAGAAGGAAAAGATAAAACACTGGGACTGCATCAAACTAAACAGTTTCTATACAGCAAGAGAGACAGTACCCAAAACGAAGAGACACCCCATAGGCTGGGAGAAAATATTTGTACACCATACAAATGATAAGGGATTGATACCAAAGATCTATATAGAGCTCACATAATTCAACAAAAACAAAGCAAATAACTCAGTCAAAAAATGGGCAGATGAGATAAAAAGACACTTCTCCAAAGAGGAAATGCAAATGGCCAATAGGTAGATGAAAAAATGCTTAACATCACTTATAATCAGGGAAACATAAATCAAAACCACAATGAAATACCACCTCACATCAGTGACAATGGCACATATGGGCTCTCTGGTGGCCTAGGGGTGAAATCTCAGCACTATCATCACTACACCTGAGTTCAATCCCCAGCCAGGGAGTTGACCCACATGGTGCAGCAGACCTCTCCTCTCTCCCCGCTGCACCCCTTGGCAGTGTGCTTCAGTAAATCCACCTCCTCTGCCCCCACTCTATCTCTGGTAAGTCGTCACACCACCTCACCACCACCCGCCCCCCCCACACACACACACACCTCTGGTCTACACCCCAGTTCTTCTACACAAAAATAAATAAAATCTTGAAAAAAGGGGGGCACATATTAAAAAAACTGGCAACAACAATGCCGGTGAGTGTGTGGAAAGGAACCATAATGGTTCCTGCCATAATGGTTCTTGCCATAATGGTGGGGGTGCAAACTGGTCCAACCACTGTGGAAAGCTGTGTGGAGGACCCTCAGAACACTAAAAATGGAGCTACCATATGACCCAGCAATTCCACTCCTAAGAACCTACCCAAAGAAAACAAAAACACTAATCAAAAGGAAATCTGCACCCCTATGTTTACTGCAGCACTACCTACAATAGCCAAGATATGGAAACAGCCTCAATGCCCCAAAACAGATGACTGGACCAAGCAGATGTGGTCCATATACACCATGGAATACTGCTCAGTGATCAAAAAAGATAAACTCCATCTGCAGCAACATGGATGGAGCTGGAAGGAAAAAGAAAAATATCGGATTGTTTCACTTACAGACACAGGGAAGCCAAAGAAGGATCAGGAAAAGAAAAAACTTGCAGGCAAACCATAGATCTGAGGCATCAAGCAGGGGTGGAGCAGATAGGGGTCAAACAGGGGAGAGAAGAGTGCAAAGGACTATGGTGACAGTTCACAGGTGCCACAGTAGGGGGAGAACTATGGGGACTACTCAGTTTATAAAAATAAACTGCAATATCACACGCAAAAAAGAATACATACAAATGTCCAAGAGGCACATAAACAGGCATTTCAACACCACACGTCAGGGAAATGCAAGTCAAAACCACAATGAGGTGTCGCCTCACACATGTTAGAATGATAATCGGCAAAAAGATAAGTGACACATGTTGGCAAGAACATGAAGAATAGGAAACCGCAGTGACTGTTGGTGGGAATGTAAATGGTACAATGGAACCATTATGGGAAACAGTATGGAGAGTCCTCAAAAATTAAAAATAAAGCTATCATCCAGCAATTCTACTTCTGAGTATCTAGTCAAGAGAAATAAAACATCTCAAAGAGATTTCTCTGCGCCCTCTTGCTCACTGCAGTATTATTTACAAGAGCCAAGACATGGAATCAACCCAGGTATCCAACAGATGGGTGGGTGAGGAAAATGGAATGAACACACACACATACACACACACACACAAGCTATCATGTTGTTTTTCTGACATTAATACAATGTCATATCAGTTATGTCGCAATAAAATTGGGGGGAAATTTCTTAAAAAGAATTTCCTAAGTTCTCCAAGCAACACCCAGCACAACTTCACAAACCAGGGGCGCCACCCTGGCCATCTCACATCTGACACAGTTTCGTGTGTAAATGAGGAGGGCTGGAAGGAGATTATTTTTTGTACTGGTTAAAAATTAGAATTTTGTGATAGTGGTTCCCACAATTTATATGAATAAATCACATAATGATCACTAATGATAAAAATTACTCATGACTTTTTGGATTTGATGACACATTAACAATAAAAATTAACCAGGGCAGGAAGGTACACTCCGGTTTCAGAAATAGAGGCAGAGGCCAGATAGGAAAACTGTTTCATTTGTAACACTGCTTAAGACAGAGGTCCAGGAGGTTTGTATCAAGTTTCAGTGAAAAAGTAACTCATCATCATAATCACACAGTAACACAATGATAAGAGTTTTTGTTATTTTGCTGATAAACATCCATAATTCTCACTTTGAAGCAATGTTTTTATTTTTCTGGTGCCATAAAGTGGTAACATTATAAAGTGTTATCAAATTAAAATCAAATAACTTTTGGAAAAATATGACAATGATGTGTTTTATACATGTCAATTCGACATTATGTGAGGTTTCAACACAAAATTAACTAAAAAGAAAAGAGGAAAACATCAGAGCCAATTGTTTGCAACTCCTCATCACCATTTTAAACTTCCAAGCTGGAATAATTCAGACAAAGAAGGAAAATGATTAGTGTCTAAGACCGGACTCCTCCACTAGAAAACAAAAAACTCCCAACAGAATATGAAATTTGGAAAAAAAAAAATTGTTATCAAAGACTTCAGAATGCATTTCTCTCGATTAATAAACATTGTCACAGCCAAAATTATAAAACCGTATCAAGATGGCAAAATCAAATGAGAACTGAATATCAGAATCAACTATCTGCAGCTATGCTAACAGATTCCACTGCAAGCTATCACTAACGTTGGTAAGACATGGATAAAAAATAAACAAGGAGATTCCACCTCCTTATTGCTAGAAGTATTAATAGCTTTTGATTCCTAGGCCCACCAAAAGAGGTATCAAACGTGAAATCTGCAATGCCAGGTAAAGATGACAAACATTTATCTACAGTCCCTCCTGAAACTCCATTAACATGAGTGTAAAATAATTTATTTTAAGGCAAACCCCCACAAGGACAGAGGTTAAGAAGCCGGAGCTAAACGGGGCAGTGGCTGCTACTTGGGGACTTCAAAGCCACCTCCTTCCATGGCACTGCACCTCTCCCTGGAAGTTGAGGAGCTGACGGCACTGGGGAGCCACAGAGGAGAGACCAAAAGCTAAAAGTAGGACTGAGTCCGAACCCCAATGGAGCAGCAGTTAGGCTGCCCACACACACACCCCCACCTGCACAGTCTGCGTTCATCTCCACCGCACAGGCCTCGGGGCCCCTACAGAGGGCAAGGGAGGGGAAGGCCATGGCTTCAGGACCCCAGGACGCCACAGGAGGTGGGAGCGCCACAACAAAAACATGCTGCCACAGGAGATGGACACACAAGCCAAGGCCACAGGACAACAGCGAAAATGATTGCTCTGGAAGGAAAACACTGGAAGAAGCCCCATCAGCCTTTGGTTACCGTGCCCAAGAAGTCATGTAACCGGAGTAAGTGTCACTCTGCTTCTCGACGGAAAAGGCACCAACTAAAGCAAAAACTGATGCTTAAAGAAAGGCAAGTTCTGCTTGGACACTCAACCACACTCATCGTTCATGCCCATCGAATCACCGCCAAGAAGAGCAGAGGAGGCAAGACCAGGTCCCTCCCCTTATGGTAGGAGCACCCCACATCGTCTTCTCAAGTCGGCAAGAGCACACACAGGACACCATTCTGGGACCAACCAGGGGCAGGATGGTGCAGGGAGGCCGGGGAGCCCCAGCCACAGGAGGAAAGACAGGCTATTAGCCACACCAGAGACTTGGAGACCTGCCAAGTTTTGTTTTGTTCTGTAGACTAATTGATCAAAGGAGATCGTTAAGTGACTCTGACACTGTCTCCTAGCTCATGGAACTGAAGGTATAAATCCATGCTGCGGCACCGTTTCTCATATTCCGAATTGTTTTCACTTAGGCTAGTTGACAACACAGAGCTGCGGATGTATTTATTATCCAGACACAGACATAGAACATGCCGAACGCACCCCACAGGCAGAACTGTACCTTGGACACCTTCGAGGAGCAGATCCACTCCCTTCCTGTAAAAAGCAGAAGCAGCTCCATAGTCCTTGTCTTCCTCCTTTTTCAAAGCCAGCTTTATTAATTCTCCCGCTTTCTCCAAATAATCTCCCTTGCCAAGCTTGGATTTCAAGCTGCCGGGGAAGAGGCTACGACTCTCCAGTCCGTCCTCTGCTCTGGTCTGGTCACTGTCAGAAGCAACAGGCCCTGGTGCTGAGGCATCCAGAAGAAGAGGGAGACCGAAGGTTCTCATGGGAGAATTCTGACTGGAAGCCATTCCATCATCTAAGTCAGCGAGAGACTCCACGTCGACAGTCAGAGAGAGCAGGTCACTGTCGCTAGAAAAACCTTGAAAGCAACAATAGTATGCAGATATGAAATTGCGAATTATCCAGAAGAGCACAAATCAACTGAATGATCTTTTATCACACTTCCCAAGACAATTAAGGAGCTGTAGGTTTACTGCCGGACACAGGCATCCAGCTGCTTCAGTGCACCCTGCCCATCCCTGCACACTCTCTACAGCTCTGAAGGCAGCAACTTGACTCAATTTTGAAACTGAAATTGAAGAAAAGTCTTTACTTCAGCTTGTCATCAAAAAGCCTTTGCCACATGATCTTATTAGCTGTTTCTAGAGCTGACTCCAGTTCAGCTGGCTCTAACGAAACCAAAGAACGTTAGAGTGAGACAAAAAGCATTTGCATCCCGCCTCTAGAACCTACCCGTGACTGGTAGCAGGTTACTTAACATCAGATATTAAGCAAGGCTTTAGTTGAGAGAGAGTGAATGCATACAAAGCACAATAGCCTCCCATGAAATTATAACTATTACCGCAATTTTATGGTAATTATACAACTACTATCTTCAGTGGTGTAACAATCCATATCTTGGAGAAATATGCCATTTAGTATTTGGGGGTTTGGTTTTGTTTTGTTTTAAGATTGACTTTTTAGGAATTTTCTTAGCAACTTCCACAAGCTTTCAGAGAGATACAGTCTGCATTTAGTTTGACAAAAAACGAACATCAGATGTCACTGAACATTTAGCAGTGAAAATCATTTCTCCCATTTCACACAAGTACCTTCAGAGTACATTGTACAGAGTACAATTAAACTTTCTGTCTTATGACCTCACTTGACATTCTTAAAAAGGATTGAAGAGCTCAAGGAGTTTCTGTTTACATGAATTATATCCATAAATATTTGCCAATTCTGATATTTGGAAAATACTGAATTTTTAGATATTAAAATGCACAAGTTAGCATAGTTTCTATTTTCCAAAACAGAAACATTTAATGAGAAAAGTGGCATCATTACACCTTCAATATATTATTAATGGAAGATGTGGCATCAGATGACACTGATGCATCTTCCTACCTCAGTCTGTCATCACATGTAGTCCTGGTGGAAGGGCTTGAAGAAAATGTCACATGGATAGGTAACAGGAAATGGGGTATTTTAGAGACCCTTTCAGATAAGGATGATACTGTCCTGTGATACTACATCAAAACTTAGCAAGTGGTAGTTTCTCAAAGGTTAGTTGCCATGTGGAATATAAATTCCATTTACACTGCAATTCTTCGGTCTGTCTTGTACACTGGATGGCACTTCACCCATGCATGAGTCTGTAACACCACACATCAGTCATTCTGAAAACGCTAGTTCCGAGTTATGCAGATTTTCGGAATGTAGACAAATCTCATTAATACAGTGTCTTCCCAAACCACATTTGTTACCAGCACCACCAACTTCATTCAAAAACTTCTAAGTACTGGGAAAGCTGCTGCACTCCAAGTGGTAGATACAAGCTTTCCCAAATTCGGGGTGGAAAGCTCAAATGTTATCACTGGCCACAAGCACTGTTAGTTTTCCTTAAAGCATAGTTCACTTCATTCACTTTTGAAAAAATAACTGCCAGTACCCAAGTCAGAATGACAAGTCTGTCAACTGTTCTTTCAGAAAAGGTGGTCCCATGAAAACAGCTCACACCCCAAAAACCGCACAGGCCTCCCCCAGACACCCAGAGTCAGCAGGCAGGTGCTACGTGTACTCAAGGGTAAAGATTTCACAGCTAACTGCTTTTACGACATTGCAAACAACATTGCTTTTTCTTTAAAAAAGATTTATTTATACAAGAACCGGTGTACAGGCCATATGCGCGGGAGGGTAAGAGGATTCACCAGAGACAGAGCCAGGAACAGAACAGGCAGACTGACAAAATACACTGCTGAGGGGAGCAGCGGGCGAGACAGGAGAAGTCTGCTTCACCATGTGGGATTCTCGCCGGCCGGTTGGGATCGAACCCGCACTGCAGAAGCTGCAGAAAGCTTCACAGTGCAGCGCTCAACCACCTGCGCCACCAGGGAGGCCCACCAACGACATTTCTAAGTGGAATCAGCGTGAGTCTCAGTGCAAGTCTGGGCAGTGGCGACCACGATGGCCGGTGACCTTGTCTGGTGAGTGCTGGGCATGCAGGACCACCCACCAGGGTCGTGGCCTCACCCTGAAAGCGCCAACACACAAGATACTCCCCAGGAGGCTCCTGAATGGTCAGGGGCACCCAATGGCTGACAGCCACACTCTGGCATGGCTCTCCTGTATCAAGACAGAGATATGAGCACATAACAAGCAGAGCAGGGACCGCAGCTCATGCTTCCTGAACACTGCCTGCCAAGTTTCCGAGAAGAGCAGACAGCTTCCTCCAGACCATAAGTTAAGTCAAAACTAAAGGTGATGGACTCCATGTTCCAGATCAGGGAGTAACAAACTGTTTTTCGAGGACCTGAGAGAGAACCCCCCTGGGCTTGGTGGGCTGACACCTGATCTCTGTGTCACAGACAAGATAGGATACTGAAGTTTAAATTTCATATGATTTTCATATGCCACAAATAATATTCCACTCCATTATTTTAACCATTTACAAATGTTCAAACCATTCTTAGCTTGTGATTCATAAAAAAACAAAAGTAGTGGGGGCCTCCCCTGGTGGCTCAGAGGTTGAGCGCTGGGCTGCGAAGCTGCCCGCAGCCTCTGCAGTGCCAGTTCAATCCCCGGCCACCACCGGGGAGGGTCCCACATGGCGCGCAGACCTCTCCTGCCGCGCCTGCTGCTCCCCTCAGCAGTGTATTTCATCGGTCTGTCTGTTCTGTTCCCCACTCTGGCTCTGGTGAATCCTCTCACCCTCCCACGCTTCTGACTGTACCCAGTGCTTGTATAAATAAATAAATAAATCTTTAAAAAAAAAAAAATTAAGCAACTGCATGGTTTAAAAAAAAAAAAGTAGCAAGCTGGATTTGGCCCATGGGTCAAAGTTATTATAGATTCAAATTGGCAACTTCATATCAAAGTCAGGTTAAACAAACAGGTTACAGCAGCTAAGCTCAAATTTCCAGTCAGCTCCAGACACTACTCTGGCCACTGACCTTGTGTGTTCAGGTTTCTTGTTTTCAGGTCCTTGGAATGCCCATAAAGAACTAATTTTGTTCCCGAAAAGTAACAATTTCATTAATCCACAATCTCAGCTGACATTCACTGGACCAAGTGGAAATCTTCTCAATTCTGACATTTCAACTACACAGACACTAACTTCAAAAGCAAAATCCTTTACAGCAATTTATAAAAGTATCTGTCCACTGTTCTGAGAAATGTATAAACTTTGTCAGAGACTTTTTTTTATAATTTTTAGATATTTTATATATCTCAGTGCAAATTTCTCTCCTCAAAGGATGTCCATATGTAATCTGATGCACTGAAATGAACAAATAGACACAGTTTTTAAAAATGCTCTGGTTCACACTTCTGATCACACATGCAAGGACGCTGCTGGATCTCGAGACTGCTTGTGGGGCCTTGTCACCGCTGCCTTGACAGCACCCATAATGCTGCACTGCCTCGGCTCTGCCTGACCTCGCTTCTGCACAAGGACACCAGCACAGGGCAGGAGGGCGCAGCTAGGTGCCTGCACTTTCTCGGCTCTGGATCCCCAAAACCCAGTGACATCACCACAATTCCCCTTACCTTGCTAACCCTGCTTATTAACAAAGGAAATCATGATGAAGTTAAATTAGGTCAGAAAAATAAGACAATCAAAACACATAGGGAGAAAGTCAGGAAAATAAAATACTAAGTACTCTATGCAAATAATTTCCTTTTCAATTCTGCCTAATTCTAAATGAAGAATGTTTCAAAGCAAACAAAATTAACAGGTGAGAAAGAGGAATCTTTTTAACCTACTGGAAGAAGCCAAAGGAAACAAAAAGACGACTTCTTTGGTTTAACCTAATCTGGAGGACAGCTTGGCAATGCCCACCAATGCCCAAAGATGCTTGTATCTTTGACCCAGAAATTCAGCAATTGATATGACAAACGAAGAGCTGCATAAAAAGAATACCCTTCATGAGAATTAGAAAACTTGGAAGCAACAAATGTTAACAGTAGGAGGTCATGGCACATGCCTATGGTAAAATTTATGTGGCTTTTTAGGTGTTACAGAAGAACTTTTCACACTAAAATCTTCACAATGTACTATGCAAAATGATGGCCTCCAGAGACTGCACACACCACTGTGCATGGAGGGACAGTCTAGACACTCACTTGCCCTGAGTCTCCTGCGGGGCGGGGGTTCCAAAAGCCCATGAAGGGAGACGCAGCAGGAGCTCAAGCTGGCACCTGCTGGGGGATGAAGAGGCTGACAGACATGGTTCTGGAAACACGGGCCTGTCTGAAGCCTTGGTGGCAAGTGCCAGGAAGTCCTAACTTCAGAGAGGACCTGGAAGTGGTTGTAAAGGTCTTCAGGGTCCCTCATCCTGACCAATCTTCTTCCGTTAATTCTACCCTGAAGATGTGCCCACCGCGCCAGAGGCCCAGCCCTGTCCATCCCCTCAGCCACGCACTGCGACACACCATCTGCTGGCCTGCTCTCCTCCAGAGCTACGCAGTCTCTGAACCCCCTTGGAGAAGCATCCCCCAACCAGCTCAAGAGGGAGGCTCTCCTTCACACCATGCCATAACTCATGTATACAAGCACATGTGCGTGGTGTGTGCCTGTACTGCATGTATGTACACACATACACACACACATACACACATGTACACACACACTCAGTCCCAGTTTATTCAAACACTTAATATGGTATTTGTTCAAATCCTTGAAATCACAGTCCAGTCACTCACTCTCTTTTATACAAAAATAAGTGAATATAAAAATACACAAATATCACATGAAGTGGAGACCAGCTCCCTAGAACCCACAAGAAAGTTAACAAGCAAGACGCAGGGAACAGCCACTAAACATGAGGTTCTCCACTAAGAGCAAAAAGAACAGTGGGCGAGGCGAGGCAGCAACTGACA